AGCCTGTAACGGGAAGCCGTAGGGTCAGACCACTTCAAGAAGCTGCTACCTCATCTTGGATAAGAACATAAAATCCCATGTCCTGGAGGCTTGAAAACCTTTGTCAATTGGGTTAATTATGAACTTGTTTTTCGTGCCCTCAAGAGGGTGATAAACATAATACATTCATGAACTGATAGGATGGGCAAGGGCAAAATCCTTTTTAGTAACAGTAATTGAACTGATCGTTCGAATGCTATAGCATGATGTTGAAAACTGCTTGGCCGTCCTCGAGCTCAAATGGTTGGCTAACGCGACGTATTAAGTATATACTATAGCAGAGTACCTCAACTATTTAAATCTTCGTCTATGTAAAACATCAAAATGTATTAATATACTTGGTACAAACAATTCAAATAAATAAATACCCTGGATTCCAGAGCCTTCAGTAAATAATAAATTGAAACGTCGTGAAGGCTCTGGTTCAACGGGAGGATTCTTTGATTAAACCGCGCCAATCACAAAACAGAATTAGTGGTTTTAATACAGATTCTGTACTAAAACCACTAATTATGTTTGTGATTGGCGCGGTTTAATCAAAGAATCCTCCCGTTGAACCAGAGCCTTCACGACGTTTCAATTTGTTATTTACTGAAGGCTCTGGAATCCAGGGTAATACAAGTGCGGACCTGGTAAAAGTGTTTATTGTTCCTTAGATCCTGAAACTACCTTTTTCAGATGTTCCGCAAAAGTGCGCAAAAACAATGGAAAATTTGATTGTAGTACATTATGCCAAATTTCAACATTGAACAACACTTCACAATCTCAAATGCAGGGCCGTAGCTAGACACGATAATTGGGGTATATTCATATATTCATGTTTACATATCGTAAAAACAATCGATTTCAAAAGAAATCCGTCGGGCAGGACAGGAATATATGAATATACCCCCTCCCCCAGTTATTATTCTAGCTACGGCCCTGCTCAAATGACAAATAAGGAAGGATGATACAATGATTTCTGAAGATTCTCCTATATCTAGCCTGCTTGCAGCCCGAAATTTAACTGTTTTCTCTGTATCTTGATGTAGAACGACAGCCAGTATGCCTGAATGACAAAGAAAAAACACAAGCATTGATGATTAGTTCTGATAGAACAGAGGTTATCAACTTTAACTGGACATTCGAAAGCGTGCATGCCAATGTTACAGTTGGTAGACGAAGACACACAGCTGGATTAGCCAAACCTGCTGGATGGTATTATGAGGTCCAAGTGATGACCCAAGGGATCATGCAAATAGGTGAGTTTTCTATTGATTTTCTATATCATTTTGAACGGTGTGTGCCAGTCTAGGTATAGCGTCAATAATAACAAAACTTTGGTTAGCAACTACCTGAAAAATACAAGGAGAGATTCGACATTCCGCTGCTATAATTTCCCGACGAAGGGCCTTCGCTCGAAACGCGAATTTCTCCATGTATCTATGAGGTAGTCGCATCTCTACCAAACTTTTCTTCTATATCATTATCTGCACAAGAATGTGTGCATTCCTGTAGTCTTGCAGGGTTCGTAGCGGTCTTTGAAATCCTTGAAAGTCTTTAAATTGGAATGCAGCTGGTCTTTGAGGTCTTTGAAAAGTCTTTAAATTGTGTGAAAAAGCGAAGAAAGTCTTTAAAAGTCTTTAAATTCTTTAGTGAGGAATTGATTTTACGATTTCCTAGCTAATAAAATAGATTGATTGAATCACGGTTTTCGCAAAAATCGACGAAAAGGCGCATTTTAGGATGTGATTTGACGGGACTAATTACCGGGTAAAAATGGTGTGCTTACACCAGTGAACTCTAATAATAACTGGAAGGCTAAGTCAGGGGAGGAAGTTGAAGCCGTGCTTGAAGCTTTTTTTGTAGGTAGACCCAGTCCTTTTTAATTTTTTTTTTCAAAATATGCACATTTTTTGATCAGAAAAATCTTGCCCCAAAACATTAGTTATACTACCAAATTTAATTTATATCAGTAGTATGATAAATGAATTTAATATTCGCAAAGCAAACAAATCACGAATTAGCAAAAAAAATGCGAAAAACACGACCATAAACATGAACGGTCTGAAAAACCGCGCGTTTTAGGCTGCTTTTTCTGAGTTTTTGGAAGTTTAAGATAAAACTAAGATGTCACACCTCAGGAATTTTTTATACCCATGCAAAATACATCTGTATGCGAAGTTTCAAGAAGATTGAACGTTTTAAGGTCGAAAAAAAAGCATTTGAAAATTGACAAAAATATTGCCATATTCAAAATGCTCATAGTGGCCAACAAGATGCCGATGACGAAAATAACATCACTTGAAAAACGCCAATTTATTTATGTTTAAGAGCGACTAAAACAAGGACTAAAAGCTCAGGATCAATAACAATACCTGGGGTTTAGTACAACATAAGTTTTGGGACTGTCAAAATGTTTTATAGTATATATTTTTGAGTTGAACGGCGAGATTTCCTTCGGCACGTCCAAACTTTCGTCATTTTTTCAAAATGCAAAAGCAAAACTGCTTACTTTTTGCTGTAGAGAGATGTAAAACAGTTGGAACTAATCGGAAAACCTGGTTTAAATCCCAATCATTGTTGTATTCCCATGGAAAAAGTGTTTTTCTTGCAAATTTTTGCTCGAAAACAAACTTTTGGCAGAATTTTTTTCACTCCTCGAAACTCTCCTTAGTCTTTTTGAAAGCTGATTTTCCCGCGCGCCGGCTTCAACGAATCATAGACTTTGATCATAGGAGTTAGCCTTCCAGTTATTATTAGAGTTCACTGGCTTACACTCGCATTTTTTCGACAGCTCATTGCTTTCAAAGGTCTTTGATAAGTCTTTGAAAATAGGCAGAAAAAATCTTTGAAAGTCTTTGAATTTTTTTGGTCTTGGTGACTACGAACCCTGTCTTGGCAAATTTCGGAATAGATGATTCCATCTATCGACTAATTTTTTATCTAGACAAGAAGGACGAAATCTATCATTATAGCTTAAAAGAGCGTCATAACATTAGTAAAATTGCAAAGTTTGGTTGCAAAATGTTGTAAAATACGAAACATATTGTATAGCCCGGCGAAATTAGCAAATTTTGAGTATTTTAGTATACGCGTGGAAACATGCACCATTTTTGAGCCGAAAGTCGCGCATTTTCCGCGCGTAATACTAAAATACTCAAAATTTGCTAATTTCACAGCCATGGCTATATTTTCATTTTTCACAACGTTTCGCAACCAAACTTTGCAATTTTACTAATTTTAGGATGCTCTTTTGAGTTATAATGATAGATTTTGTCTTTCTTGTCCAGACAAAAAATTAGTCGATAGCTGGAGTCATCCATTGCCAAGAGAATTGTCAAAAAAATAATACAGAGAAAAGATTAGGTGGGCTGTTGATCGATAAAAGGCTTTTGTAGATGGAAATTTCCAGTTACCAAAACCCTTCAACTATTAACTCTATCGAGCAAGATGTTCAAAATCTCGGTTTATTGGTAAACTTGTAAGTATTGAGTTTTTTTGGACGCTCTCCGGTTGAAAATATAGATTTATTTCACAAGTATTTTAAACCAGAGAGCGTCGAAAAGAATCAGTATGAGTAATCCTGGTTTCGCTTCGAACATCTTTAAACCATCGATAAGTGTGGAAACCGGTCTTCTTGAAATTGGAGAACTGGCAAATCCTGAATTGCCATTCATTCACAGAATATGCAAGAGCTAAATGGTTCCTCACAGACGATTGAAGTGCGTCGAAACTTGATGTGATGCAGATCGAGCAGCCACTCACGAAATTGAAAAAAACTGCAGCACTTTCGAATTTGCCGGGACATGTGATGTAATAAGACGGGGTTTAAAATGGCGTCAAAATGACGCGGATCTTTTTGCGTCGGTTGTTGGTTTCAAGATGACGTGAAATTTGTTAGGCTATTCAAAATACTCTCAAATGTAGAATTCCTAGTCGATCTTAAACTAAGATGAGACTGAAACGTTTCAACAGACAGTAATATTAAGCGGGGGAAAGAGAAAGTTTGGGACTAGGCTGAAATCCGGCCTTCTCCTAAGGAAACTTGGCGGCGAAGGCAGCATTACACAATGACTTTTTTAGAGAAACAGGGTACTAACAAGGATTTAGTGCCGAGGTGAAGTACGTTTCGATTTTCCTTGTTTCTTTCGGAAAAGACAATTGGGTATATTGACCGCTTTCATAACACAAATTACAGACGATTTAAATCGTCTTTTCTGTGCATCTTAATAAGCCTTCCTGGCCTCGTTCAGGTTCAAAAATTTTATTCAATGTCAGTAACAGATTTTTTTCTGGCCCCCAGCGTTTGCTGGAATTTTTATGGTATTTTTTTTTGCTTTCATCTCTGCACGAATTTCACCCCTTTTTTCGTTTCTAATGGTTTGCTTTTTATAAAATGTGTCCGGAATCGCAGGGCCGCGGGTTCGATTCCTACCAGAGGACCTGGACCCTGGTGTTGCATTTTTCGTAACCATTCTTAGTTGGAAAATGTTATTTCGCTGACCTCAGAATGACATTTCGTCAAAAAAATTTTCTTTAAGATTGGTTTAGAAACACACTTGGAGTAGGGTTAGGTTAGGGTAAGGATTAGGGTTGGGGTTAGAGTTGGTGTTTGGAATAGAGTTAGTGTTAGTATACCCTGCTGGCAGTGGTTTCTGAGCTGAGGAGAAACCACTGCGAACAAACGAAGGATCGTTTCATGTAGCCGCCGTCCAGATTCACGGACGAATACCTTAAATTCTCAACCGGTAAAAACAAGTTTGATAAGTTTTTGTTGTTGTGCGCATGCATGGGTAAATGCTTGCCACTGCTGGTAAAATGCGAGTCAGTTGTACACTTGAAAAACAACATCACGCTATAAATATAGTAACATGCTATAAATATACTACAAAATATTTCAAAATTTTTTCAAAATATTGAATAAAATGTGAGAAATTATACATTATTAAGATGACTTGAAAACCGCCTAGCGTTCAACAGAATAACTATACACTGCAACAAAAATCAACCTTTTACAGAAATAGTAGCGCCGTCGCGACGATCTTTGTCCTTTGATCGGTTGAAATTTGTAGCGCGCGGTTGAGCGACTATCAAAAATTGCAATAATTGTCAAACTCAACAGTAATTGGAAACATTATATTATTTGGAAACTTTGGGAATTGGAATTTAACGAAAACCTTCACACCAATCTCCAACGTTTAAGAAACGCAAATAAAGTTCGAAGACCGAATTAGAAAATTGATATTGATCGGATAAATACAAAATTTTAAAAAGATACGGTATAACAAACTACAGGAAATGAAGTCAAATTAGTGACTTCCCATCACGTGATCTTCGCGCATGCTCGATAGAAGGTCGTTCGTTTGCTCGCAGTGGTTTCTCCTCAGCTCAGAAACCACTGCCAGTTGGGTAGTGTTAGTAAAACCGTTGCTTAAATATATGCTTTGTTACGTTTTGTCACTCTGAGGCCAGCGAAATAGCCTCTTCCTTCTTGGTTAGGTATCAGCTACTTTGTTTTGCTTTGTTTGACGTATAACCTTTACTTCTACCAATAAATAAAAACTTTGCCGATCATGTCGACCTATATCCTGAAATAATTCCCCGCCCATCGGTTTTCTCAATTTTAATTCACGCTGCTTGCTTTGAGTTTGGCGGAAGTTGATACATAGAGTAACCCGACTAGGAATGTTCGGTATGAGAAATTTCCGGTATCGGTATACCGAAAAAATTATACCGATTTTATTGGTATACCGGTTTTCCTTTGATAATTATAAAGGAAAATTCTTTAATGGGAATTTGAAGGAAATTTTAAGTAATTCTAAAAGGAAAACGATAATTTCGAAGCTGTTTCGAACATGTTCCGACTTCCGAACAACACGTACTCAGTGTAAAATCTCACCGAAGTGGAAATTCTAAATCATTGCAGTAGAAAGTTCTCTGAATTGTCATTCAGTAGTAAAATAAAGGTTATGGTTTCGCCTTATAGTTGGTAAATTTAACACGATATACCGAAAAATTCCGGTATATCGGAAATTTCGGTATATCGGTATGGTTGAATATCCGGTATCGATATACTGATATTGATTTAATACCGATATTTTCGGTATATTGGTATACCGAACAGTCCTAAACCCGACTGGTTTTGGGGATTCTAATTATTTTACATTTGAGATGTCATTTGTATTTTGGAAAGTGGCAAACGTTTGAACGTGTCGGAGCAAAAATTGCTAATGCGCAACATTTCCAAATATTGAAAAAGCCACGGAAATTCCATCGTTTGAAGTGGAAATTTCGGCATCCCGCAAAGCCCGTTATCACCACCCAATAATTATCAGGCGGGAAAAGCTGAACAGAAATTAAAATTGATCAAGCAAGTAAGCAACATCACTATGGCACCATATGGCTACAGATCTAAACTACGGCTAAAATTCAATGAAATTTAATTAACGGGAGAAAAATTAACGAGCAAATTGTAGGTTTAACGTGTCTGTAGTCACTCAGAAAGAAGTAACTGGCATCAAATTCGCATTGTCCTTCGTGTGTTCTATTAATTTATTTCTGGATTTTGGTGAGAGGCAAATACAAACTGTCAAAGCCTTTATAGTGGTAAGATACCGAAATTATATTTGTCACTTATTTACTGATACCGAGGGAAACAGTGTGTTTTGTTGCCTTGGGCAATAACGGCGGTCGAGGGGCCACAAAACACTGCTTTCCCGGTCTCAGTAAATAAGTGTTTTTTATACAGTATATATAAGTGTCAAAGTATGAGTAATTCTTTATTCACTGGTTATTGGAGTGAACTTTGAAACCAAACTAGATTACAGTTGATTTCACATAGCTTTACCCTGCATGTTGCGAACTTCGTTGTGAAGTTCAAAAGTTCATACTGAAATTCACAAGCCAGTTAGTAAACAAAGCCTCTGATTGGCTTATTTTTGTTCAGGGACCAATCAGAGGCTTTGTTTACTAACCGGCTTGTGAATTTCAGTATGAACTTTTGAACTTCACAACGAAGTTCGGAACGAAGTTCACAACATTCAGGGCAAAGTTATGTTATGTTATGGAAAAAAGATCCACACTCCCCACAGAGGAAATTTCTGCCGTAGGGAGGGGGAGTAGAGAAAAAATTGTTTCTGATAATAGTAAATGTATTAGGACGTCCGAAGGGGTAGGGGGGTTAACTTCCAATTTCCTCTGTGGGGGTGGTATGATCATGTTTTCTGGAATGACCCATTAAATTGTACAGTATACATAATAAATTAAGTTGGTTAACATATATACTGTAATGGCAGTGTATGACACACTGACTCTCAAACAGATGCATTGGCTACCTGTCACATATAGAATTAATTTTAAGATTGCCATGCTGATGTATGAATGTGTCCATGGATTGGCACCTACATATCTTAGTAGCCTAGTACAAGTTAGACATTGGGATAGAGCATTTTCAAACACAGCTCTTAAGAATTGTCTCCCTGTATCTATTTTTAAAACTTTTAAAGAAAGTACCAAAGACTCCTTATTTTAGAGATCAAAGCTTTTAATATATTAAGTAATAAAAGTGCATTTATCGATAACAACTAGTATTGTACTGTACGTTCATTGTTTTAGTTTTAATAATTATTATACAACATGTAAATTTTGAGGTTGTCAGACTAGATTGACTGAAATATAATAATGCGCATTTGATCATATTTTACATGGTGGTTGGTAATTGCTACACAAATTTCTCCTCCTTCAAAGTTGTGGGACTCATGTGACCCATATAGCTACAGTATGGTGCAATAATTTTTATAGCTGGTGAAGTTGCGACATTTTATACATGCTTTTTAGGCTTACAGTATTTCGCAGTGAAATTATAGTGCAAAGGTTTAATTAGATCAAGCTAAAGTTCAGAGAGTGATACAGTATGTTGCCACTATTCCCATTATGGTGCAAAATAATTTTAAAATATCTCTCAAACTGACCCCATCTTGAGACAACTTTAATTAATGTTTTTATGACATCTGTATGCAACAATAATTAATTTACAGTGGAGGGGGCCCTAAGAAAGAGAAAGTAAAATGACCTGTTTTCACTTCTATACTTCTCCTCAGTAGTGTTTATTTTCCCGAGCAAAAGTAGTGGTGCTTTTGACCTCAGAATTTTAATGATAACTTTCTAAAAGGTTATGCTCAGGAATAAAATTAAAATAAAAGTTGGAGATGGGCTTATTTTCTTCCATTTGAGCTAGCATTGAGCTCAAGAAACAGTAGCCTGTGTAGCAGTCGCTTTATTTTATTGAAGGTTTGAGGATTTTTGAATAAATGCATTTATTCAAAAATCCTCAAAACCTTCAATAAAATAAAGCAACTGCTATGCAGGCTAAAGAAACAGCAAATCAATCATCCTGATTGTTTGCATATTTATACAGGTGCATCTCCCATATTGGATACCTTGTGTTTCAGTATCTATCCTAAACTGTAATTTATTTATAACTTCGCTTGATTTTTCCAGTCCAATAATTGGGCCAATATCCAGGGGTGGATTTATAGGGTGCGCACCCCTGTTGGCCTTGGTCAACGGGTGCAAAAAAATCAAATTCAGAAATATGGCATAATTTCCAAGGTTTCTAGTTCGTTTTTTGAAGTCAAACTAAAGGTCATAATTCAATGCCCATATCGCAGGAAATGGCATTTCTATTGTTCTAATTTTCAAAATTTTGCGGGGGACGGGGGAACGCATACCCCTGGATGGGGCCCCTAGGGAGCTCGCCTTTGGCTCTTGATTCATTAGGAAGCCAATTCATTTGAATGCTCTCCCATCCCCCACCCTAAAGGATTTTAAAGATTGAAACACTCGGCTGCTCACCCAGCACCCCC